GATTTGCACTGTCTGCCTTACGCAGATGGGTCTCCTGCAAAAAAGTAATATTATATAATCTAGTAATATCAGAATACCAATGTGAACTTCAGCGTTTAAGGTTTAACTTTCATATTTTGATTTAAACATTTAGATTTAGTATTCAATATTTAAATATATTTTTTAACATTTAAATTTAACATTAAGTAAAAATTAGCTACCACCACATAGTTTCCACTGCATTTTGAGTTTTTTTTTAATTCATTTTTTTTCAAACAGTTTTTAGGTTCTAAAAAAATCTGTGAATGAATCAGTCTAAAACCCCTGAACTGGGATTGTGTGGAGGTTAAGTGAGGTTTTAAATCGGTGCAGAAATGATGCCAAAGATTGAACTCAGTGTTTTCTTTCTGTTTTTTATGCTTCCCATTGTCTCCTATGTTTGTTCAAACCTTCTGTTTTTGTTTTTACTGTTTTCATCATTTCATCAAACTTGACACTTTTGCTATTTTTTAAAATTCATTAGTGGATTGGCACTTGCCAAATTTATGGGTTAAATTTAAAAGCACTAACTGGGATCTTTAAATGTTATTGATCAATGTTATTGTTAACAGCTGAGGGTGAAAGCTGTCACTCATTTTGTTCATATGTGTCACTGATCCACCAGGTGACATATTATTGTCAATATTCTGCACACAGTAAATATTGGCTATTGTTGACTCTGAAGAATGTTCCATGGGTCATCTGGGTTATATTAGTGCTTTAGAATTAGCTTTTGCTAACCTTTTCAGTACCTTAGTGCTTAGAATTAGGGGACCTAAATATTTGAGTTAGTGTTTTAGCTTTAGTGCAACTAATGTTTAGATTAGTGCTGCCCACCCCTGGTCTTGTCTTTGATTTGCTAATGTACCTGTTTATGCATATTAAAAACACAGTGAGTATTATAGATGTGTATGTATTTTACTCAACACTCAGAATCCTAAATTTGGAAAAAAGATTTTGTTTGTTTTTTGCTATGGAAACTGTTAAAACTCTGTCAAACTTTGTACACATTTAACCAAAAC